ATCAGGACAGGTGGCTGGGATGGAGAAGCAGGAAGATGAGGTGAGGCATGGCTGTGTAGCTGTGGCAGAGCCTTGGTGGGCTGGATGTGCCAAGCCTGAGGAGGAGTTTGGCTCATGGTCTGGCCCCCTTGGGCCGCTATATCAGGAGTGGACTGAGTACACTGGGGATATGTGGGAAAAGGCCTGCCTTCCTGAGAAGCCAGTGAGCTGCCTAAAAGCCTGATTGCCCATCGCCTGTGGGATGCGGGCCACAGCCCATTGCTCTCTTTATGGTTCTCAGAATGCATGGCTCATTTGGCTGTCTGCTTTGCCATCTCTTTGACCTTGCTCACACTGTGGTCCAGTTGCCTTCCCCAGTTCTAAGGCCACTCCTCCAGGACCTTCCCGCCCTAACCCTCTCCTGTGAAGAGGCAGACCACATCTCCATTCACTCAGTGTACCCAGCTTTTCTTCCCAACCAAACCAGGCTCATTTACTGCTTGCTAAGCCCTTGGGTCACTACCGGGAATGTAGGAGATGTCCAGTAGATGTGTTAATTGTGCAAGATAACAACATTCAGGAAGGAAAAAATATGAGATTACTCTGGTTCCAAGTGACTGTCAGTCCGTTGCACATACCATTTCAGGTCTAACACAAGCCCCAAATAGAGTATGTCAGTCTGAAGTTTCTGGTTAGCCTGTCTTTGCTATATTCTGCAGGGTAATCCCAGTTTCTCTGGGAATACTGATGTAGGGAAGAGATTCAAGGAGCTGCTATCTAAGATTGACCCCTCTGACCTTTCCTCACAGGGCAGACCCTGCCTGCCTGGTGTGCAGGACAGTGAGGACAGGAGGGCAAATCAGGGACAGTACTGACTCTGCAGAAACTCTTGTCCAGTAGGTGAGACAAGAAGACAGACAGCTGTCACCACCCTGGGGATGCTGAGGGCCACACATTTCTCCTATGCACAATTCGTTGTGTCTCCACAGTGACCCCATTAGGTAGGAACTATTATCTCTGTCTTACAGAGAAGTCTCAGAAAGGTTAAGGAGCTTGACCAAGTCATAGCAGGAAAGCAGAAGAGGTGATAAGGGAAGGCTGGAGAAAGTTTAAGTGGGCATAAGTCATGTGTAAAAGGGAGGGAAGGCAGAGCAAATAGGCCCATGATTTTGAGGCCCCACTGAAAGCTTGGCATGGTTATAAGGGAGAGTCATTGGGGAAGTAACAGATGAAGTCTCAGAGGTCAGCAGGAAGCAGGTTGTATAGGGCCTTGTGGGCCATGCCAAGGCACTTGAACTTGGTCATGAGGGTGGAAAGGAACCCTTTGAAGATCATGATGATCACATTTACCTTCCAGAAAGAGCCAGAGTGTTGGCTGGGTGGGAGCTGGCCTAGAGACAGGAAGCCCCACACCCAAGCATTTGCCTTCATCTTCCTGGCCCTTGTCCTTCCTCCTGACCTTGGCCTGTGTGTTTCAGAGTGGCATCCCCGGCCAGTGCCAGCACCCTCCACGTTCTGAGCCGCTATAGCCGCTACACGAGCATTCTGGACCTGGACAACAAAACCCTGCGCTGCCCCCTTTACAGAGGCACCCTTGTGCCCCGGCTGGCAGACCACCGCACTCAAATCAAGAGGGGCAGCACCTACTACCTGCATGTCCAGAGCATGCTCACCCAGCTCTGCTCCAAGGCCTTCCTCTACACCTTCTGCCATCACCTGCACCTGCCTGCCCACAACAAGGAGATAGAGGAGTTGGTTGCCAGCCGGCAGGCAAGCTTTTTGAAGCTGAATCTGGGTCTAGTGAATGAAGATGTCAAGGTGGTCAAGTACCTGGCTGAGCTGCTGAAACTGTACTATATGCAGGAGTCTCCTGGCATCAGCCATCCCGTGCTTAGGTTTGACTATGTCCCCAGTTTTTTGTACAAAATCTGAGGTCAGTCCCAGCCACTGTGACCAAGACCTGTGACTCAGGGCACAGGGAAGGGAAAGCTTGGCATGACCAAGCAGGCCTCTGAGCATTTTAGATTTATGGTGTCATAGGTGGGAAGGAAACCAAGGTGGCAGCTGTGGTTCCCAGATGGCTCCAGGGAACCTGCCAGTTGGACTTGGGAAGAGGGAGAGCTTGGCTTTCTCTGAAGGTATCTGGAAAGATAGTAACAGCTCTTATCTCCTTGTTAAGGAGTGATCCTGGGACTGAGGACTGGTAGGCAGGGCAGAGGAAAGCCTCAGTGGGGTGGGATGAAAGGAAGGAAGATGAAGCCCTGGTGGGAGGAAAATGGTAGCCACGTTCATCTCTGCTTAACACTTGACTAGCAAAATCAAGTGAAGCAGCCTGTTTCACTGGAATGATTTGGTGGAAAAGAGGATAACGGAACATCCATTGCCTCATTCAGACTGCAGCTGACTGGTGTCCTGGAGCCCATCAGGCCAGGAGAGGCCCAGGATGAATGAGGAGAAGGGAGAGAGCTCTGCCCCAGCTGTGCAGTGGGAAGTACACACCCTCCAGGCCCCAGTGCTGCAGCAGGGGTGAGCAGCACCCTGTCCCGACCCTCACTCCCTCACCTTGGAAACTGTTCCTGCAGCTCAGCAGGAGAGATCATCATAGTTACTAGTTGTCAGTGAGCACTGCTTTTGGATGCAGAGAGCCCAGGAGACAGGCAGGGCCAAGGTGCCAGTTGCACCACTGTGCAAGCGATGAAGAGCCAGCAGGTCCACTTCTTTTGGCCAGAGTGAGTTAGTGTTGTCCACTCACCCAAAGCAAATCTTTGCAACCACTTCACTACCTCTTGCGGGTCTCACGGGCACAGTGACAGCAGACTTGTGTTCAGCTGGTTGGCATGGGTGGGCAGTCCGGGTGGTAATAACTCATGGCAGGGATTTCCTCCAGGAATGAGGAAAGCTTTCTTGTGTGGCTGTCTTCATGGATCTGCTTGGGGAGGTCGCACAGGCCTGGAGTACAGGCACCTCACGGCAGCTCACCTGTCTCCACAGAGTCCCCCCAAATATGCTCACCTCACTGCAGCTCACTTCCATCATCATGAGACTCTCCGCACCTTCTCAGATGCTCCCACGTCTCTCCACCATGACCTCCCTGAGCTTCTTACACAATGACCACTGATATGTGGATTGGAGGGTTTATTGCGACCCAGAAAATTTTATGCCTTTTTTAAAGCAGTTTTTCCCCTAAGTAGGGAGAACTCTTGATATTACTGCTTTTTAATTTGTCCCCAGAAAGTTGTGATAAAACAGACTTGAGCCAGCGACAGGCGGTGCTCCTGAGCACACGTGCATATCTACTGGGGTCGTGCTCTGTGTGGCTGGGGCCCCGCTGTTGAGACCTAGTCTACCTGTCAGCTTTGTAGAACACCATTAAAGTCACAGACCCCTGGTGACTAAGGAGGGTTTACCTCATGTCACTCCTTTGGTCCGTTCTCTGCAGAATGATAGGACCTGTTGGCTCCCACCCATCAAGTGCTGGTTAGGGTCCCAGTCCTGTCATGGCAGGGATTTCCTCCAGGAAGGAGGTAGGCCTTGTGTGGCTTTCTTTGTGGACATGTGTTTTTTGCCTCTGAGGCTATGACTGAAAATCTTCTATGGCAAATGGTGCTGCTTACATCTCATTGGTTTCCCTTGTACCTCTGTCCATTGCACATCCTCACACAGACAGCTCTCCTAGAATGTCTTGGCAGCTTTGAGATGTGAAGTGCAGTGACCTGTGGAGAAGGCTGTGTGGGAAGCCTGTTTCTCTCCATGAGCCCCTCCCTCATGTTCAAGATGCTACTTTATTTTCTAACTGTGTGGCTAATTGCTGCCTACTTAGGCCTCCAGGGACATGATTTGTGACATTTTATGTCCAAGGGAAGAAAGTTCTGTGGAGCCCCAATGACAAGATGAAAAGTGGTCATTGGCACCACCCTTGCTGTTCCTGTGTTTCACACTGATGTGGACTCTGCAGTTAACACTTTTCACTGGGGAAACATACTGGCAGGTCATCCAGACCCGGCCTTCTAGAAGTGAAGGCCACACACTGCCACAGAGTCTGCTTTGGACAGTGTTTGCTCAGAAGCTGCACTCCAGGGGCCTGAGGACTCTTAAGGCAAGACCAGTCTGGTGTAAAGAGAACAGATTGTCTGCAGGGCCAGCCACAGACAGAGCAAACTGAGAGCATCTCGCTGGAGTTATTTTTCTTTTTTTGAACATACAGATACTTGATTCTCACGTTTCACACAAAGCACACCTGCAGCCATTTTCCTTCAGAGTTGTTTCTTCATGAAGAAGGCAGTTTGGCTTCACTGACTACTGAGTGAATTCCAGGATTAAATTTTGATTAAAATCTAACTTTTTCAGTGTGGCAGTTTCAAAGGATTGCCTGATGCCAAGTATGTTTCTTCTCAAAGTGGCACCTGGACTGAGCCAGTTTTGGCTGAGGCAGCTGAGCCTGTGAAGCTGACCCTTCTTAACCCCTCCTCCCCCCACTATGGAGAACTAGGACCTACTAGAAGTCTCAGATGCATCTGTAAATTTTGATGATGGGGAGCCCTATGTAATGGGGCTACTCTTCAAGAATTTTCATTTGAGGTTTTCCTCTAGTAATAGATTAGTAAGTGTTAATAAAACATTAAAAAACACTTCCCAGAAAGTAAAGGATATCAGTGCCCCTTATTATTTCTTCAGTCCTATGACAGCCCAGGCACCAAAACTTTGAGGTTTCTTTACTTCCAATTACTGGCCTACCTTCCTTTTTTGAAGCAATCAATGTTGACGGAAGCCAACTAGGCTGGCAGTTCTGCAGTACTGATTCCAGGGCTCCACTTCAGAGAGCAGCTGAAGGCTCTCACAATATCTGTGGTGCTGAGATGCCCAGCCTGAGCGGCTGCCTCACACCTGTCTCTCCAGCAACCTTGCTCCTTTAGTGGAGTCTTCAGACTTTAGAAATTGTAGCTTTTCCATAATTGACTGTGATAGCTGAAGTTAACACATGTTGTACCAGAATCTGGAAATGGGCCATGATAGCTCACCTGTCATTTCCAACCAGCTTTTAACTTTTATTTCAAATTAGTACAAAGTGTAATAGATTCCAACCCCAAACAAATAACATTTCAAATCTGAGGAAGGCCCATAGATTCTACCCTAAATGCCAGGCCTGTTTGTTTCAGTGATGCATCTGTTGGCCAAGAGCAGTGGAGGATCTTGCATGTTCACTGACCACTTACTTCTGCCAGATAACATGCCCTGCCTCCCTGGGCCTTTTGCTGTTGACGTGGTAGCACTTAACTGGTGGGGGGCCCATGGTAGGTGTGGATGGCCTTTATAGGCACTGATGCCCCTCCCCCTGCCAGGCCAGCAATCAGATGTTACCTCCCATTTCCCTGGAGAGCACCTAAGAAAGTGATTTTAGTTCATGCTTTCAATCAAACCACCCAGCTGCCTGGCTTTTCTCTAATACTGTGATAGTGAAAAAACTGGAATCTTTTATAAGTGATAATGGTGGTAACGGACTGCAAAAAGGAAAAAGCATCAAGTTGTTACTGGCTAGAAGCAGAAACAGTCTCGGCTGGTAAGGTTGGAGCACACCAAGTTTTCTGGAGCCCTTTCTCTGTTGGGCACTGACCTAATGTGGCCTTATCTACTGAGGTTTAGTTATGCACATGGAAAGGAGGAAGTAGGAAGGATGGAATGAGCACTTTGCAGTGAACTAGGCTGCTGGCATGGGGCCCTGGCTCCCTGGGAATGAGTGTTCAGCTCCAACATGGAGGCTACACGGGGTCTTAGAATGCCCTTTCGTCTTGATCTGGGGAGGAGTCAAACCCTTGAAAGGATTTTTTTTAACAGCATAACAGCTCCCAAATTGAGGCATAGATGTGGGCACTGGTGTGTCGTCACCCACACCCAGAGAGACTAGCAGCTGTCCCCCCTGGGTTGGGGTAAGTGCCAATATAGTGGACCCTAGGCCACAGGTGCCTTCCAGGCAGACCACAGGGCTCCACCCACTGACTGCCCAATGCTGGCTGGCTACACAAGTCGAGCTGAGAGAAATGCCACCTTTAAGGTTGCAATGAAAAGCATAGTCTGTAAGGAAATCTTGTTATTTTTTTGAAAAGTATTTTATTACTGCATGTTTGTCCATATTTGTGAATATGAACCTGAGCTCACCACATGAGCTGCGGTTGTCACAGTGACGAGGGTGAGAGTATAACAGGCGTGTGTGACAGCAGCTCGTAGGTATGGCTGCACCAGAGTAAATGCCAAACAAATAGTATGAGAAGTGTACTTTTTAAGAAATTAATTTATTTGAGTTATTTTTGAAATATAAAAATTGGTTGTATTTTTTAAAGCTATAATTCTTGTAGACATTCTGTGGTTAAAAATCTGTGCTTATTAAAAATGGTCATTTATGTTTTGCACTTCAGCTTTATGAAAAATAAAATTTCTTTGGGAAGGTGACATTTGGCTTCCTGATTACAGAAGGGAGTTCTCTCAACAAGGCAGGGGAGCCTGTGGCTGACTCTGAGAGCGAGAGAGGATCAGGTGCCCCAGGCCCTCCAGCCTGCCCAGGGGGGATGGTGAAGACCATTTCTGCAGCATACTGAGTTGCTAATAGAGAAATCCACATAGTGGGTGGCACCTTATATAGACTTGTCTAACTTAGAATTCTGATTGAAAGCACATAGCAGAAGCTTAAGGAGAATTTCCCTCTTCAGTTGTAAGGTCATAATTCAGTTCTCTGGCATCCCACCAGGTAACAAAATATGGGTAGCTTTTATAAGCTATGAACTTATGTTTCTTATTTGCTTCATTGAGTTGGAGGAAACCCAATATCTCTATGAGAAGGGTGAGTAAAATTACTGAAATCTTCCCAATAGCTCTGCCCTACCCCACTGTTTAAATGAATTAAGGCTAAATAATATTTCATTTTTCCAGAATAATGATACATATAGTAGTGAGATTCAGATTTAAACTTAATAATTTGTCCCAGACTTAACTAACAATGAGGCTTAAACAGATTTTGATTTGTAAAGATAACATGAGAAAAGTCCCAAAGAAACCCTCAGCGTAGAGAAGTTGACCAGATCCTGTGTAGGGCGGTGCTTCTCTCCTGGGAAGGGCACTGTGTCCTTGGGTAAGTGCCTCGGGCAGTCCTGGTGGCTCCTCTAGGCATCAAGCAGGCCAGGCAGAGGGAAAAGAGCTGCAAAGCTCTCCACCTCCTCCCTGAGAGCTCTGATGCTGCTAAGGTGCTTCTCATCCCCTACCAGTTTCTCCTTGAACTCCTTCAGGGTGGCCTTGACACCAACGTCGTTCTGAATCTGCAGAGTCAGTTCTATCCCTGTGTGGCAGAGACAAATGAGTCCTCTGGGGCTATGAGACACACCCAAAACCCAAATACCCCACCTGGGGGCATGACAGCTGTAGGTACTAACATTGATACCAGAAATTATTCTTGTGCAAGCCCTTCCTTGGTCAGGACAAGTTCATAAATGCCTCAGACCAGATGGTTTGCTAGCGATGTCTGTTGTCTCCTGTCCCCAGCACTCATCCTTGGCACAGAAATTTCCTTCAGTGGCTGGGTCTCAACTGTCCAAAGACTTCATACACACAATATGATGTGGCAGACTTCCAAACCCACATCCTTACCTTTGTGAATGAAGAGGGCTACTTTTTGGAACTCTTTTTCCAGAAGTCCGCGGGATGTCAGTGCTGGGGTCCCCAGTCGCAGCCCACTGGGCCGCAGTGCGCTTTTGTCACCTTCAACATAAATAGGCTCTGTGTAATATTTGGGTCGCACCCAAACTCACCACTGACCACTGTGCACTACAAAGGGGCACTTGTACAAAAAGAACAGGCCTGCAGATGGCGGTTGGATTGAAGAGCACAGGTGATTTCCACACTAGAGGTGGAAGCCAAGGCACACGCAGTGAGCACATTTTGACTGTGATGTGGCCTTTGCTCCTACAAGTGAGTCTAGCATCTGTCTGGGTTTGGATTGCAACAGCCGTACCTGAGGAAAAACCTGTGGAGAAATCCAGCCTGTGTTCCAGGGCCCCTGCCTCCCTCATCCAGAGCCTTCCCCCTCAATCCCCTGTCCCTGGCAAGGTTACAGCCTGTTAGAAAGAGTGGTCCAGGAGAGAGCCACAACTTAGCTCCTGTTTGGCAAGGTGTACTTATCCCCTAGTCAGCTGATGCTTGTCCGCAAAGCCAGTTATCATCAGCTGTACCTCTGCCTTTAAATGCAGACAGGAGAGGTGTGGAAGAGAAAACCAAGGGGTATTCTTACCTGGGCAGGTGTTCTTGTTGCAGGCAATAGAACAGGCTTCTAGCACCTTCTCAGCCCTGCCACCGTCCGTGCCTTTGGAACGGAGATCCACGAGGATCAAATGGTTGTCAGAACCACCTGGAAACCAAGTTGGACATGTAGGAATGCAGATGGTCAATTCCATGCCAAGTGAAGGAATGTACCTCTTCTTCAGAAATGAGGGGTGGGGAGGAAAGAGCTAAAGCAGATAGGGTCAGAAAGGTGAATGCCGCACTACGTGTCCTGGAAGGCTTTAAAACACCTGTAAAGAAAAGATGCTGCAGGACCTGAGAGTTTGACAGAGGACAGCACAGTGTAAAAAGGGTGCCTGCTGATGCAGAGGTCGGCTGTGAGGTTGAGGGGAGAATGACCACACAGCCCACTGCAATGACCCAGCACACTGCATCATCACTGCTCCAGCAAAGGGCCTGAAAGCTTGTCTGGGGAGAGACAGCTTGCTCAGTGACATCCATGGCTTCTGTTTCCTTTGACAAATCACTTGGGAAGCTCCCACACATCTCTGAAATCAATCTTCAAGCCTCCCTCTGAGGCAGCACCAGAGTAGCCAACAGTTGTTCCATTTACAGTAACAACATTCTGGAATTGGCCCAAGGTCACCCAGAAGTCTTTCAAATACCTGGATCTCTCCACTTTGAACTCTCATTAATACCAAGTCATTGACAGGCAACAACAATAACTTCCAAGATGTATGAGAGCTGAGTTAATGCTTAGCTCTGGACCCACAGCTCAGAGCTTAAGTCACAGTCCCCACAGCCTCCCACTACTAATCATGTGGCATTAGTCAGGCAGCTTGACACTGTGGAAGCTCAGATGCCCATTTGTAAAATATGACCAACAATATACAAGGCTGTCGTGAGGGGTAAGTAAGGTGCCCTACATAGTGCTTGGCCAGTGCTGGGCACGAGGCCGGTATGCAGAAATGCTGGCAGCAGTCATATTCACCACAATCTGCTTCAGCTGCCAGCATCAAGTCTTCAGACAAGAAGAGTAAACAAGGCGGGATCACAGGCCCGGGAGCTCAGGAAGGGAGAGACTCCCTGGGAGGCTCCAAGCAGCAGAGTTGCCAGAGCTGTCTATAGCCAAAGGGAATGTGGCCTAAATCCTTGTGATGACTGAGATTCCTGGGGCTTTGTTACTGGAAGACATGGAGGATGAAGGAGAAAGCACAGAAAGGAAGTGAAACAAAATAGAAAAGAGGAGATACCCAGGACTGCTGAGAAGATGGTGTTTGCCCCAGCTCTGCCATTCGCAAGGCTTGGTGTAACCCTCACAGAGGGCAGCAGGCAGAGTAGGCACCTGCTCTACAGGGCACCAGGACCCACCTTCCTGAACCACCTACTGCTAGCACACATGGCAGCCATGTGAGCAAAGATAACAAAGTACACTGTCTGCCAGAAAAACTGTGCTATCCTAACTGTGTGAGCCCACAGTGACCAAGGTGGACGGCACCTCTGAGCAAGGCCTTCACCGGGAAAGGCCATCTCACTCAGCACCTGCTCCTCTGGACGTGGTCCCAACTCGTATCGCACCTGCAGCCACAGTGCCACAGCCACCAGCCTGCAGACACACACTGACTGGGTGAGCCACGGTGTGAGGCTGTGTGCAACTACAAGGAGTAGGGTCACAGCCTGGGGTCTGTGGGTGCCCCCCAAGTTTCTGTTGGTACCTGTTACTACTTTGTAGCCCAGCTCCATCAAAGTCTCAGCCAGAACCCTGCAGTTGGCCACCACCTGGCACTGATAAAGTCTGAATTCTGGAGTCAGGGCTTGCTTCAGAGCCACGGCGACCCCTGGCAGGAAGAGACAATGGGTTAAGTAGGAAGGGCGGGATCAAAAGACAGACAAAATACATGTTTCCACCCAGACTTCCTTGCTTTTCAGTGTCACGGAAAGGCACAGATTACATTCACCTGTCCCCCCAACAACAATGACATATATATATATCCTTGTTATATATATATTTATTTAAAATATTTTATTTGCTTCTTAGGAAGAGGGGAAGGGAGGGAGAAAAACATCAATGTGTGAAAGAAACATCGATCCTTTGCCTCTCGCACATCCCCAAATGGAGCCCTGGCCCGCAACCCAGACATGTGCCTTGACTGGGAATCGAACCAGCGACCTTTCTGTTTGCAGGCCAGCGCTCAATCCACTGAGCCACATCAGCCAGGGCATTGACATATTTCTAACCCCACAGTTACCTGGCTAAACCTCCAGACCTCTTCTATTGGAGGAGGTGCTTTTGAGGTAGCCTTTCTTCCAGGCACAGAAGTTTTGTGCTAATAAAATGATCACAGCAAAGTTGTTCTTAGGCAAGATAGATTTGAGTCATTTTAAAGCTTGATATGTGAAAACGATTGCTTAGTTGCCCTGAAAGCTGATGCTTCGATGCCAAGTTATGCAGATCTTTCAGATCAGAGTCCAGGTGAGAGGTGAGGCCTGCTCTGCCCTGCACATCCAGACTGCTCTGGTGCCCAGTGTTCAGTCCTGAGGGTTGCCTATGAGGCACAGAAAATGGAGGCGAATGCAAAATTCATGTGCCCAAGACCCGCCACAGAGGCCTCCAATCAGTGTATGTGGAAATGACTGGAAAAGGCCCAGAGCAGCCAGAGGCTAGGTAATGCCACCATCTGAGGGTTGAAGGAACTGCAGGTGCTGAGCTTGAAGGTACAAAAGGGGAATATAATAGAAAACACCCTGGTGGATGCCCTGCCCCATGCTCTGGTGCCTAAGTTCCTCATTCATTGTGTCCTCCTCTCCCCTTTTTGGAAACACTAGTGCCTCTCTTGATGGAGAAATTACACCTTTGTCCTGGGCTCTTCTAGCAATTGCTTTGTTCCGAAGAAGACAGTGGAATAACTCTTGAGATCATCACAGATTTCCTAAGCCACTTGTAGAGAGGAGGAATCAGTCAATGACCGTGTGCTGGGAGGTTGTGGAGTCAGACAGATCCAGGGGCTGCAGGTGCAGCCCTGCAATCCAGGATGCTAGGGTCAGACACAGGTGCCTCTTCCCCCCTGGAGGACAGGATGTCAGGGGAGAGGCATTTTGTCCTTGATCATCGCACTCCCCTGCTATGCCTTCTTCCAGTTGTCAAATTCCTTCCCTGTTATTTCCTAAAGAGGGCTACCCACAAAATGTGCCTGCCCCTCAGTTTTGCCTAGGAGTGGCTACCCATGTCCCTACCTTACACAGTCATGAGTTCCCCTTGTCTCCCGTGTTAGATCTCCTAGACAGAGATATTCCTCTAGTTTATCCCCAGCGTGGAAGTCCTGGCACCAACTTTGGTGGGCAGGTGAGACTGGAGTGAGAGGCCACAAGATGAACAAAAGCAGGAGAACCCTCAGACTGACTGCAAAGGGCCCGCCAGGGGGAGGTACACCGTCCGAGGGTTCAAGATGGGTTTGGTGATGTTTTACCAGCAATGGCGTGGTTGTGGGGGCCTCCCTGCAGTCCTGGGAACACAGCAGAATTGATGAGCGACTCCAGGTTGTACAGGATCTCTTTGCCAGTTTTGGGATCCACGCTGCACACTCCTAGGTGAAGAAAAACATCAGAACAGATAGGCTGTCACCTCTGTTTTCTCCCTGCCTGGACTCAAACCCAGGCTGGCTAGGGGGGCACTCAGCACAAGCCTGGCCTCTACTGCTGGAGGTGAGCCCTGGTGTGAAATGCCATCGGGCAGAGAGGGGGCGCATTTCCAAGCATGGGCAGACCACCCTTTCACAGGTGAAATGAAAAAGTGAAAATTTCTCTCCAAAGAGATTGAAACGAAGAACACTCCTTGTGCATACTTCCTCAAAGGAGTGTCAAAGAGCAGCCTTCTAAGATGACTGCTTTGAGGGAAACAAGACCCATGTGGCTAGATAAGGGGATAAGGAAGGTTCCTTTTGGAGTAAAAGTTAATAATCAGCAATAGCAACTACTAATGTCACTATAGAGCTTCTTGTGAGCCAGAACTACTCTAAGCACTTCACCTAAATTAATTCGTTGAATCCTCACAAGAGTGGTCTAAAGAAACTGGTACTGTTATGATCTCTACTCTAGAGTGAGGAAACGAGGCACAAAGTGGGTGCACAACCAGCCCAAGACCACAGTGAATGTGGGCACAGCCAACATCTGCACTGGCTGGCTGGGTCCAATGAGCCAGGGCACCCAGGGAGAAAAACGGCATCTCCCAGGCTGGTGGGAAGGGCTACGGGTCGCAGAACCTGCAACCCACCTGAAGGCCCTCAGAGGAGTTTAGGGGCTTCCAGTGGGTACATGGGTGTGTCTAGGGGCTTGGAGCCCCTGATTCGGGGGTAGAGAGAAATCCAGTCTCCAGAGGGCTGCTTTCTCTGCTGATGCCAGGCTCATGCACCAGGGCCCACCCTGGGCTGAATGAGGCCTGATCACCACTCTGGCTTTCTCAGGTATGGGAATCCCAAAATAGTGGGAACACCTACATACCTGTGGTCTATAAGCATTCCATTACTGGAGAGAGAAATTCCTTACTAAGATAATAAAACTGGCACTATGACTTATACATCAATGCCTTAGGGTTTGATTAGTGTGAGTCTTTAAGAGAAACATGGTGGACTACAGCAAGTTCACCAAAATAACGCTGTACTGCGAGGCCTTCTGGTAGCCTGCCCAGCCATGCATGTCCTTCCTTTCATCCCGACAGCCTCCTCACAAGGAGGATTCGCTGAGCCAAAGAATGCTGGCACCCAGCACAACAGCCTTCCTCCTCTCCCAGCACCCAGAGAGCTGTGCTCAGGGTTTCTTTCTAGGTCCCTTCTATAAAGCCTATCTTTGTCCCCTCCTAAGGAGCTCTCTCGGGTCCTAATGTCTTCAAGGGACCCCAGATGAGCACTTCCCACAGCTTCCTAAATTAAATGTGAACACCCAGCCACTGCCAGCACCCCACACCCAGGGGCACACCTCGCCTGTAGAAGATCATGCCGGCCCGGCAGCCTCTCAGGGTTTTGTGGGTGGTGGTGGACACCACATGGCAGTGGTCAAAGGGGGAGGGCACCACGCCAGCCGCCACCAGCCCACTGATGTGTGCCATGTCGGCCATGAGATACGCCCCATTGTCATCAGCAATCTTCCGCAATCGAGCGTAATCCAGGTTTCGGGAGTAGCAGCTGGTTCCTAAGATGGCAAAGGTGATACTGTTGTCAGAGATACCCATGGCCAACCGAGGGTCGGCTGCAAGGTGGCCTCTGGACATATATATTTGAAAGCTTAGAGATTCCTCCCTCTAAAATCTGAAAAAGGAAATGAAGAATATTCTTGAAAAACATCTTTGTGCTAAAGGCAACCACTCTGATCTCTGCCTCTTCAATGTCATGGTAGTCAGGATGACCCCCAACTATTATTACCATCCCCGATTAGTCAAGAATGAACATTTCTAGATGCTTCTCTGAGGACAGCCTCACATCTTATTCCACCTAGTACTAATGTTGACAAGACAGGCATCTGTCCTGAAAGAAAAGAATATACTTAGATCCAAGAAGCTCAGCTACCCAAAGTAGAAACCAGCAGGGAGCAAGGATGGGGTGGGGAACACCGTCATATCTTGGCTTTGTAAGAGGCTCAGGACTGGGACTAAGACAGCTGTTTTCTGCCCCGTTTGTCACCTGCAATAATCAGCTTCGGGTGGAAGAGGCGGGCGTTCTCCTCCAGCTGGTCATAGTTGATGTAGCCAGTGTCTGGGTTCACCTGTGGAATGCCATGGACACAGAGCTCAGGCTGCCCTCTCCAGCCTGCCTGCCGTCCCACCTAAACTTGCACCAGCCATCAAGGACAAGATGACTTCTTCCACATGCCCAAAGCTGTTTGCTCCTCTCTGCCATGAAAACGGGAAAGATGTCCCAGGCCAGGACTTGAGGGTGAGGTGTGATACGAGAGTATTCAGCCTGCACAAGTGGGGCAGACAAGTGAGTATCGCTCCCGGACCCACGATGCCCTGAGGGGTCCCAGGGGGAGAAGTGAGCCCCTGCCCGGAGGGCTCTCCTAGGATGAGAAGAAATGAAAAAGCCACTCCTGAATGACATAGGAGTGGTGGACAAGCAAAGACACAGTTACCTTCAGGAATGAGACAAAGTGCCTGCCAACAGCACTTTCAGTCCAAGTACAATGAGGCCAGAAAAAGGAATAAAGGCATAAGGATGAGAAAACAAAAAAGCTGACATCACCACTATTGTGTACCTGGAAAAATCCGACTCTGGAGGCAAGCTATTAGAATTAGTAACTGAATTTAGCAAGGTCACTGAATGTAGGGTCAAAAACCAAAACTCAATAATATCCATATATATAAGCAACAAAAAATAGAAAATGAAATTTTAATAATTATATCATTACATAGTTTCAAAAGCCATAAAATATCTAACAAAAGATGTACAAGACCTCTACATAAAACCTTATTGAGAGAAAGTTAAAAACACATAAAAAAATGTTACAGTAATGACAGCCAGTGTGCTTGTGAAAGGACCAGCAACAGAAGAGCGCCAGGAAGAGAGAGCCTCTGTGCTGGGCTCTCTGAGTGTTATTCAGAATAGAGTGTTATTTAGGCCAGAGCCCAAGGCCACCAGTGGGCGGGGCGTCCCCACTGCGTTCACAGGGCTACAGCCTGCATAGTGCCTGTCAAAGACAGGGGTGGCTGCAGGGAAACAGGTGCAGCCCCGGGCTTGCTAATGCCAGGAAGATGCTTCAGTAACAGCTGACACCAGGCCAAAAAGCGTAAGGCCCCCAGAGGGCTTGTCTAAGGATGGAAAGCAAGTTGCTGATTGCCCTGCCACCATTTTTTTCACTGTAAAAGAAACTGTAGGAATATCGGCTTTTGTGGTCTAAGTGCAAAGACAGAGCACTGTGTTACTACTATCATGTTTCAAAATCCATCTTCAAGGTGAGCGTTGGCCAATGCAATATCTGTGACCAGAAACGCCAAGGCTTTCCATGAAGAGAAATGAACTGTCATTCGTGTACAAAAAGCTTATGTGCAAATACTAGAACTGAGACAAAGGTTAAGAATAAAAACAGCAAACAATCAAGGACATGCAGCAATGACCAACGAATACCAAGAGAGAGAGCAATGGCTTGATTTTCTTAAAAGGATAAAATCATGTCTGACAACTTTGCTAATGGTGGGACATGTGACAGTAACCATGAACAGCCCATCATCAATACACACCACAAGGAGATAGTTTCTGGACATGAGAAAGAATCATCCTGTACACGGAGTATACCATGAACAAGCCTGCAAGTTATCTCTTTTCTACCCATCCCTTTAATTATCTTTATAGGTAAGTCACTAGGCCCTTCATGAGCCCATGAATCTTACATGCATTGTTTTGACCAAACTGTTTACAGATGAGCAGGGCCCCACACAGGCACATGTCAGCCCCACGTGTGCACACAGCCTGGCTGACTGGGCTAAGGAGAGCAGACTAGGCGCTGATGGTGGGCTGCTGGTTCTAGAGCTGAAGCTAGGGACACAGCTGCTGTCACTAGGGGTCCAGGCATGGTGCACCTGGCTGCTGGAACTGTCATCCCAGCTGTCACTGCCCCCTAGTTCTGGAGCAGTCAGTACCCCTGCTGTGGCTGGAACTTCCTCTGCAGTTGCCTCTCCAGCCCTGCTCTGTGCCTCAGCTCAGTCCCTTGTGTCCCTCCCAACTGTCCCCAGCTTGCCCTGCATGTCCAAGGAGTCCCCATGGCAGGAAAATGACAAATAGTGAAAGGTGGAGACTCCTGTAGTGCCAGGTGAACAAAACGGATTCCTACCAGGACAGCCAAACATGAGAACTGGAGGCTTTCTGAGCAGACAGGCTACAGAGCTATGCAGAGGGGCGCTCTTACCTTGTAGGGCATAGATTCGAAAAAGATGGACGTAGCAGAGATTTTCTTCTTATCTGTCATGAACCCGTGGGTCAGATGGCCTCCATCAGGCAGGTCCAGGCCCATGATGCGTCCATGGGGTTCCACCAGGGCGGTGTACACTGCGAAGTTGGCAGGGGACCCTGGGCCGGGCAGACCAGAAGAGGCACCATTGCTTCTGCCCATGAGGCAGCCAGCAGGACCCCAAGCTTGGCCACTAGGGCACCAACCAGAAGTGGCTGGAACAGATGTCTACCATGATGTAACAGAGTGACATGCTCCTCTCTGACTCCCTCTGGCTCCAATCCCTGTTATTTCCACAGCTCCCAAGCTTACAGCTAGCTTCAGACATGATAATCATGAGAGGAAATTGCTTGGGGCTGGAGTTTTTACAAAAACAGCCCTTCCCATTTTCCCTTCCCTTCACATAAAAGAACCTAATCTGAGAATTAGGTGTCCCATCTCATCTTGGCACCTTCTGGATCAATAAATCTTTTCTCCAAACTCTGAGCTTTGGCCTTTCAAAGGGTGGGGCACTCAGACTTTGGACTGGTAACAACCACACCTTCCTGGCACCCTCTGTACAAACCCCCTTGAGAGGAAGGAAAGGGGGATAGTCAGGGACAGGGCACTATCTCTGAGGGCTGAGAAGAGACAGGGGACAAGGACATGGAGAAAACCACACACACACACACACACACACACGCGCGCGCGCGCGCACGCGCAGGATGGGCTTCACTTATTTGTAACTTCTGCTTATGGGCAGTCCTCCTAGGACTCCTCTCCAGGCACATCAGCCCCGGAGACTGGCCCCAGGCCTAGTAAGACCTGGTGATTACCTGAGTAGGGCTGGACGTTGACTCCCCAGCACTGGGGGTCCAGACCATAGACCTGCAGGGCTCGCTTCTGACAGAGGGTCTCCAGCTCATCGATGAACTCAGTGCCACCGTAATACCTGTGTAAGAGAAGCAGGGGACTTAGGTCCACGGTGGCATGGGGCAGAGAGGTCAGCAAAGCCGGGGTGGGACAGAAGAGCAAAAGGGGAGAGACTCAGTGCAGACTTCACAGGACTCATCTTCTGTCAGTGCCAAACACTGTAACTCTGAACAAATGTCTCCTCATCTGTAAGGAAATTCTGAAAGAGGTAAATGGGCGAAGCGTGCATTTGCATTGTGCAAAGTGAATAAGCCAGTGGTGACTGTATGAGCCCCCTTATGTAAGGTACCAAGAGTAGTCACATTTACAGAGACAGAACATGGAATGCTGGTTGACCAGGGGCTGGATGGGGGGACAGGTGGAGACAGTTGTTGGCTTTTGGGTTTTTTTTCGCACTGCTAATAAAATTTTACTTTTCATTTAATAATTACCAAATTTTATCATACATTTATGCATTTTATCTGTATACATCCTAATAATCATAATTCAACCCAAAAGAAAATGTTTAACACTTATGCCTTATGGTCACAAAACACTTTAAAATTTTTAAATTAAATGCATATACTTTTTTCTTAAGATTTTATTTATTTTTAGAGATGGGAAGGGAGGGAGAAAGAGAGAGAGAGAAGCATCAATGTGTAGTTGCCTCTCAAGTAGTCCCCACTGGGGACCTGGCCCACAACCCAGGCATGTGCCCTGACTGGGAATTGAACCTGCGATCCTTTGGTTCGCAGTCCGTGCTCAATCCATTGAGCTACACCAGCCAGAGCAATATACATTTTTTATTATAGTAAAAAACATAACATAAAATTTACCAACTCAACTAATTTTTTAAAGGTTTTATTTATTTATTTTTATTTATTTATTTATTATTATTAATTTTTTTAGAGAGGGAAGGGAGGGAGAAAGAAAGAGAGAGAGAAACATCAATGTGCTGTTGCTGGGGGTCATGGCCTGCAACCCAGGCATGTACCCTGACTCAGAATCGAACCTGCGACACTTTGGTTTGCAGCCCGAGCTCAATCCACTGAGCTACGCCAGCCAGGGCTTTTTTCATTGCTTTTAGAGAAAGAGGAAGGGAGGGAGAAAAAAACATTGATGTGAGAGAAGGTTGCCTCCCAGGCATGGATTGTACTCACCTGGACCAGGGATGAGAACTGAAACTTAGGTATGTGTCCTGACTGGGAATCAAACCCACAACCTTTCAGTTATGGGACTACACTGAGACATACCTGCAAGGGCTCCATCTTAACCCTTTTCAAGCACACAGTTTAGTAAGCAGTGTTAAGTGCCTCACATTGCAAAGTGCATTCACGTTGTACAACAGATAGAACTTTTTCATCCTGCAAAACTGAAACTCTACACCCACTGAATGACAACTCCCCACTTCTCCCTCCCCCAGACCCTAGTGACCACCACTCTACTTTCCATCTCTATGATTCTGACTACTCTAAGTACTGCATATAAGTGGGCTCATGCAGTATTTGTCTTTTTGTGACCCGCTTATTTCGTTTACCATAATGTCCTTAAGATTCACCCTAGTAGCATGTGATAGGATGTCCTTCTTTTTTAAGGATGAATGACATCCTATTGTATGAATATACTACATTTGCTTGTCCATTTGTCCATTAGTGGACCCCTGGGTTGCTCCCATCCATTGGCTCTTGTAAATAATGCTGCTGTGCACATGGGTGTGCAAATATCTATTTGAGGTCCTGCTTCCAATTCTGTTCAGTATATACCCAGAAGTGGAATTGCTGGGTTATATGTAAATTATATTTTTAATTTTTTAGGGACCTCCATATTGTTTTCCACAGTGGCTTGCACGTTTTACATTTCTACCAACAGTGCATAAGGGTTCCAATTCCTCTCTGTTCTCACCAACACTTGTTTTGTTTTTGATAGCAGCCATCCTAATGGCTGTGAGGTGGTATCTCATTGTGTTTTTGATCTGCATTTCCCTAATGCTAGTGACTTCGAGCAACTTTTTGCGTGCTTGTTGGTGGGAGCTGCTGTTTAATGGGTACAGAGCTTTGTGCAAAACAAAAGAGTTCTGGAGATGGATGGCGGTGATGGTGGCACCATACTGTGAATGTACTTAATGCCACTGAACTGGGCATTTAAAAGGTGCTAATTTTCTACTATGCCTATTTTACCACAATAGGGAAAAAGGGGGAATGAAAGGATTTTACTCACAATGAGGCTGGTTAATAAGAAGCTAGGAAAGTTCCTTGGCAACTGGAATGGGGAAACTGAGACAGACAGCTGAACGAACTGGCTGAGCAATTTACAGCCAGATACAGAAGGTCACCAGGGCACTGGGTGCCTAGCAATGGGCAAAACTGCTGCCAGACCCTCGTCCCCAGGGTGGCCTTTCCTTCCCTGGCATACAGCTCGTCATGTGGTTTAGACCCCCTGCCCTGGTGCCAACCAATCGGTGGAGACTACGACCCTGAAAGGATATACCTGGAAAAGCTGATGAATACTGTATTGAGATCTTTCCCTAAGACCTCCCCCAGAGTCACCTCTGTAACACAAACTCAGGTATGCTCACCGTGAATAAACAAAGACATTCCCATCACTAACGATTCTAAGAGTTTTAAGAGCTCAAGCACCAGAAACCAAGCACAAAGTCCAGATAGTTTTGATCATGCCACAAGTTTGAAAACACCTGGATTCGAGTCCCAGCTCTGCTCCCAGTGTGCAAACTTGACAGGCCACTGAATTTGAGTGAGTCTTAGCTTTCCCATCTTTAACATGGGGAACACAGCACTACTTTCCCTACTACGCTGCTAGGAGCATCAGATGATATTAATTGTGAAAATACCCAGTGAACCCTTCAAGGCACAATGCAAAAGTTAGTTATTTACAGTACGAGAAAGATGAGCAGTCAAAGAGTTGATCTGGTTTTGGGCCCTTCTATGGAGAGCTTCAGGGTACCTCAGGACAGAATGCCAGTTCAGCTACAAGGGGCCCCTCCCTGCCCTGTGTCCTTTGGAACACAGATGTACACATTTGCAAAAAACATGCATCAGATTCTGTAATCATCACTTTTGCCTGATGACAACTGTAAAAAAAAAAGAATATACTGTCTCATGGTTCTCAGGGTGAAGGAGTGGGCTGCAATCGCTTCATATGGAAACCCAACATTCATAGCACAGAAAGGGTTTCCAGTACCACTGGTTCAGTTTCCACTTCTGAGCCACTCCTGAAACAGATCCTGAGACAGCAACAATTACCCTCCAAACATCACTATAAGTACTTACTGACCGTCTTCCAGAGACTGGATGACCTTTCAGCAGCTCCATACTCCTCCATGGACTGGCTTGTTATTCTAGAAAGCCCCAGAGGGACTGTTAAAGTAACCCTGAGTCCAGCTGCTCCTAGAACACCAGTGCCATCACGTGCTGGGCGCCAGAAAAAAGTTATGTCAGAGAGCAGGAGGGGACAGGAGTCCTCAAGTGGTTTGGATTCTATGCTGATTCGGGATGTCACCTCGCTAAGTAAGAGCAGGCCTTTGACAACATTCACGTACCTCTGGCCTGGGTACCCCTCAGAGTACTTGTTATTTAGGCAAGAGCCCAGGGCCTCCAAAACTGCTCTGCTGGCAAAATTCTCTGAGGCGATCAGCTCTAATCCAACCCTCTGCCGTTTGCTTTCCTTCTTAATGATGTTGTAAACCTGATGAGAAAAGAACAATAGTATGGGAAATGTAGAAGCCAAAGAACTTACAAGTATGACATGTGGACATGAACTAAGGGGGGGAATGTGGTGGGAGAGGGTGTGCAGGGTGGAGGGGAGTGAAGGGGGGGAAATGGGACAACTGTTATAGCATAATCAATAAAATATATATAAAAAAAGAAAAAAACAGGTGCCAAACATCTGGATCTTGGAATCCAACATCTTGCTCTGATCAAAGCCATAGCCTAGTGAAGAGAAGAACCACTGATAGAGAGCCATGTTTTGTGCTCAGAAGCTGACCATGACCCAAATAGATAACTCAGATATACTTAAAATAAGTGTCTCACCTAGTTTTTAATCGTATACCATCTTGTTATCTTTATTTCTACATTTTGCCATGTTTTTCCTCCCTGAACCTTATTCCTGGCTTCTCTTCTCTAAAATAGAAAGGAGACAAGTGGTCGCCTACAGTTTGGGACCCTGGTCAGGTAACTGCTAACGGGTTTGAGGTTTCTTTGTGGGAGGGCAAAAGTGTCCTGAAATTCACTAAAAACCACCGAATTGTGCATTTTAAATAGATAATTTGTATGGTAATTGAGTGATACCTCATGTATGAAGCTGCTATAAAAATACATTATAAAACTTGCTTCTTGGTGTCTAAATGTACTCTCTGAATTGTATCAAAAGGGTCCAATCTCAGTGACCCCTCTCCACAGCCCCCATAGCCAGCACAGCACTCTGTACTTTGTAAACTGGAGACCACTTAAATTTGCTCTGGAAGGGCCTTTAGCACTTTGTCAGATGCTGCCTCTAAATCTGGCACTCCTGTACTAATTGCAAGGATATTCTGAATAAAGTATTTTTAGGAACACCCATGAAGACCCCATATACCTCACCTCTATGTCGTTGTCCTTCAGCGGCTGTGCCAGCATTTTATTGTGCGAGTGCCACAGGTCAGCATCCTTGGGAGCCCCGTTGACCTCAGTCGCCATTGCACTGGTTCAAAGTTGCCTAAAAATGGAAGAACTTTCAACATGAAATTTACTCAAAGCTCATTGAAACCTGTCAGTTCTCTGAGTTGCTAAAGGACCAACACTATTTTTTACCCTTTCCCTCAGAACTGCCCTGCAAACATGAAGATATTCTATTGCAAAACCACAGTGTGGGACTTCCGGTTCCTTTCTGAACTGCGGATGTCAGCTTGTTATCCTGTTAGTAATGAGAACTATGTCTGCTCCCTAGGAACTCTGGCCCAGCCGACAGACAGTTCAATGCTGCCTTTTCTCAACTAGCCTCTTCCTGGGTATGGCTTATCTCTCAAACTAAATTCACCCCCTTGAAGGCACAGGCTGTGTGTTACTTTATTTTTATTTTATTTTTTTAAAAAGATTTTACTTATTTATTTTTAGAGAGGGAAGGGAGGGAGAAAGAGAGAGAGAGAGAAACATCAGTGTGCCTAGTCATGTGTCCTGACTGGGAATCGAACCTGCGATCCTTTGGTTCACAGCCTGCGCTCAATCCACTGAGCTATGTCAGCCAGGGCTGTTACTTTATTTTTTTAAATCTCCCACAGAATCCAGTGCAGCCAGACATGAGCTGATATTTGCCAAATGCCTGAGCAAATGAGTTACTGACTTACATGGTATTTTTTTTCCATTTTTCCAGAATTAAAATGAGGCTCAGAGCCCTGGGTGGTGTGGCTCAGTGGATTGAGCACCAGCCTGTGAACCAAAGGGTTGCCAGTTTGACTCCCGGTCAGGGTACATGCCTGGATTGTGGGCCAGGTCTCCAGTGAGGGGTGCTGGAGAGACAACCATACATTGATGTTTCTCTCCCTCTCTTTCTCTCTCCCTACCCCTCTCTAAAAACAAATGAATAAAATCTTTAAAAAAAAAAGGAAGTGAGGCTCAGAGAAGTACAGTATCTTAGCCCAGGGCTGCATGGCAAGTTGGCCATGAAGGTCAGACTCAAAACCCCCAATTACAGGCTCTAAGTACCCATAGGGTTCCTACAGAAACTGTAAGTCAAAGCATGCACTTGCTTATATATAACCCCCCTGTAAGAATTATAGGTCAGAGCTGCATGTTGATATTTTTCATCAGAAAACTATATCCCATTAAAATACTGGAAAACATACATTTCTTAACATGTTTCTACAAAGAACAAGAATCTGTGATCAGTGGCATCTCCCCTAGTGTGAAAGTTTAAATGTGTACAGGAACCAAACTCCCTTATCAACAGTTGGCAGCTTTTCTGTAGTTTTCCATTAATTTGGTAAGTTTTCACCCAAAATTGATTCATTCGACAACTATTTATTGAGGACTTCTCTGTGCCACCGCTGCATTGCTACTGAGAATACAGTTGTGAACCTAATAGACTGAGGTCCTGGCTTCACGGGACTTCCATAGTGGGGAAGATGAGTACCAGACCAAACAAATGCACTATATGCAGAAGGATGAAATGGGCAAAGTGCCATGAAGGACAAGAGCTGGGTGCTGGGGACACAGAGCCAGGGGCCTCTGCTAGGAGAGGACATTACGAAAGAGCCCATTTCCCAAGAGTACTGTGAAATAATAAATCCATATTGGTCTCTGTTCCTACAACCCTTGTGATTTCTTAAGTGAAAAGAGCAGAAAGAGCATCTCTTGTTCTAATGCAGACTCTAGGTGGCTCCTGGATGGGCTGGCTGGTCACCAGAGACCAAGCCCTGATTAGAAGCTTGGGATTCTCAGCCCTGCCCCCAAATGTCCCCAGAGGCAAGAGGGGCTAGAAATGGAGTGATGGTAATCATACCCATGTAAGGAAGCTCCATGAAATCCCAATAGTAGGGGTTTGCAGAGCTTCCAGGTGGGTGAACATATCTACACCGGGAAATGACGCACCCCAATTCCACGGGAACAGAAGCTCCCATGCTCAGGACTCTCCCAGACCTTGCTCTGGCTGTTTGTATCCTTTATCATATCTTTTAAAAAACTGGTAAATGTTAAGGGTCTTCCTGAGTTCTGTGAGCTGCTCTAACAAATGATGGAATCCAAGTAGGGGGGTCACGGGAACCTAATTCATAGCCGAGTTGGACAGAAGTTGCAGGGAACCTGGGGACATACTCCTTGTGATTGACACGTGAAGGAGGGTGGTCCGATGGAACTAAATTAACCCAGGTTACTACCAGGACTGAATTGAACTGTAGACACCCAGCTGGTGTCACTGAACTGCTGATGTGTGGAAAACCCCCACACACCTGCTGTTAGAAGTGTCATGAGTGTGGTGGTGGTGTGAGAGTAAAGAGAAACACAGCAGAAAGGTTATAGTTGTTTCTATACAAGCACACACACAGTATAATTTGCTAGACAAACTGTACTTAATTTGCACATTATTTAATTTATACTTTATTTAATACTCATTAAATGAAATAGTCCAATAGCCCCAAGTTACACTGATCCTCCTTAATCTCTGGTAGAGCTCCTAAAATAATCTCTAACCAGGAAATTCCTAATTGGGGCTTTCAGGCAGCCATTATTTTACCACACTCACAAGATTAGAAATGCAGCCATTCCTGCAAAACAAAGGTGGAAGCACTTGTATGTAAATGCAATGGACACATGTGGCAACAGCTGGACCACCTTGCCAAGAGCAGGCAGGCAGGCAGGCAGGCCGGCCAGCCGGCAGCCTTGAATGTGGCTGGCCAGGCCTGCATTTCCTTCAGAGGTGGAGAGGCATGTAAATCGTTTGGGTGCTGTGCCCATGGCTTTTCCACGCTGACCTCTGCTCTCAAGAATGGCCAATTCAACCTGTGCACCTGTGTGTGGGCCAACATACACACCCTCAGCAGGTGGTAGGCCCACCAAAGTACCAGAGTCAAAACAGCGCTCCTGGTGTTAGGATCTCAAAGAGAAAAGCTTCTTTTAAATATTAATGTGTGTGTGGGGGTGGGGGGGCTATAAAGGGGATAAATGGTAATGGAAAATATACAATAAAAAATATTGACTAGTCAAGGTTAAAAGGGATTTGAGGGTGGCAAGTGACAGAGAAGACTACCAACCACTGAATAACTCAAGTCCAGTGGAACCCTCCTCCTGTGAGCGGGTCAGACAGACCAGGTGCTCTGGAAGGCATTCAGTTCCACAGTGCTCAGGAAAAAGAACAGCATCTCGCCTTCCTCTGCATCTCGCTCACTTCACTTCTGGGTATCAATCTGCTGCCCTTTGGCCTGGTTGCAAATATTTTCCTTATTCAAGATGCTACTTCTAAGTGACACTTAGTTCTTAACCCCAGGTGAACTTAACCCCTGGCTGTGCAGGCACCAGAGTGCATGGGTGGCCATCACTCCCTCCCCAGGCCAGCAGTGCCCCCCACCAACTGCCCACCCACCTGGAGTTCTCTCCCCTGTACACTGCTGCCACTCAGATCAAGGCATCCCCCAGATGGAGCACTTAATCCATGCCTTCATTAAATTCATATCCTCAAGTCCATATTTAACTTTTTTTAACCATAAAGAAGTTTTAATTCTTCATTCAAAGTACAAGATTCTTTGTCTTGTTTCAATTAACTCAATTATAGATATAACCTATTTTGTCTAGGAAGTCAATTAAATCTATTATGTCCAGCAGCATCCTGAATTACAGTAAGAAAGACAAAGATCCTGAGTGTGATGCACCAACTTGACTGGGCTGAGGGATGCTGCTCACTGCATAACAGTGTGCCATAATCCTCACCTCAAGCTTTGGGAGAGAGACCCAAGTCACCTGCCTCCCCATGGCTCCAAATCTCAGACCCTGGGCCTTGGTCACAACTGGAACCACCCTGTTGCATGTCTTCTGTAGAGATTCTGTGATCTCTACAGAAGAGAAAACTGAGGCTCAGAGAGCTGAGTGGTTTAAGGTCACCTAATAAAGAGAATCTGAACTGTTTTACTTCTATTTCCAAAGCCCTTCTTCATCACACTGCACTAAATAAAAGCCTAATTACCCACTCCACTGCATTCTCCCTCAAATAAGAAATTAAAACTTTGATTCCATAACAATCTAAACTGCTGTTTCCAGAGCAGCACCCTGCCTAATTGGTGGCATGTGTCTGCGCAGTGCTCGCCTGACCAAGGTTCACTTGACTTCCAGAACCCGAGCCAAGGACTCCACAGTGAGACGTCAGTCTCCTCGAGCAGGGGTGGCAGAGTGCAGACAAGGCGCAGTCCTCCCCTACGCGGGTCGCACACTCCGGAAGCAGCACGACCACTAACGCAATAGTTGAGCGCACAGGCTTCAGTGCGCCTCGGTTCGATTGAGGGTTGTGCCATTTTGCTAGCTGCAGGGTCGCGCCTAAGTCGGCTCTTCTCCCCTAGCCTCACCGTCGTCATCTGTAAAATGGGCTACAGGATAGCACTCTATTAGCAGCTCTCTTATGAGAATACTGTAGCAGGTGAAGGGCTGCGCTTAAATGTTGAATACTTAACCAGAGAATGCTTAGGAGGGTGCGGCAGGCGTAAAACTGAGGTTCCCACCTCTACTGCATCTGTGTGTGGCCAGGCCACGGCCGCCCAACCCCTCTCACCCCACGCACTAACAAGGAGCTCCCCACTTCCTCGGGCCTCTCAGCGCCACGTGGGGGTGGGGAGTGCCACCAGAAGACGCTCACAGCAAAGCGCTCAGCGAGCAGTGGGGTCCCCAAGGCCCTGGACCCGAAGCTGCCCACCTACCGAAAAGAGATCCTGTGCACCACCCTGGAGATACCTAGCCCACGTAGACTGCAGAGCGACCAGAATCCGAGACCCCGGCCGCGCAGGCGCCAGACGATCAACCACGCTGGCTCAGGGGTGAAGGGCGCGCAGCGGCTAAGGGTTACTCCGCACCTGGCGCGCGCCGCCAGCCCGCCCCACCTCTGGAGGCGCCCAATCAGAGTGCGCAGGCGTGACCCTCTGTGGCGGAGCTATGGGCGGACCTGGCCCCCAGGGCCGGATGAGTGCAGAGTGAGGGCCGAGTGTGGAGCCTGGTCGGGGCTGGGCGGGGGGACTGCGGGGCTGTCTTGGGCTGGTTGCGTGCTGAGGCAGCGGGGATTTCCCGGAGGACAGCGGCGGGCTTGTCCCAGTAACTTGGGTAGGCCCTGGGTTGGTGAATTTAGTTGCTTATATTTAACTTTTTCATTGTCCTATTTACAGTTTAGCAAGGTGGTCATTTAAATAGGACAAACGTGGATTCGAACTTCATCACTATTACTCTGTACCTGTGGAATCCTACGCCAGTGACTTCACTTTTTGAGTTTCATATTGAATTAGAGATAATTAGATCTGCCTGGCATGGCTGTCAGGAGGATTAACAGATCTAAAACACTTAACATTATGTCTGACTCATAGTAAGGACTCAATAAATATTAGAATATAAATAATAAGAATAATAAAAACCAAGAGACTGCACAATATAGGGAAAAGAACTCACGAAGATTCTCTCCTTAACCAAATTCTACTCAGGTTCTCCCGAATGCTTTTTTCTCTCTTTATCTTCACCAGGAAACATACTTACTGATTTTATTATTTTTATTTAAAGATTTTATTTATTTGCCCTGACTGGTGTGGCTCAGTGGATTGAGTGCTGGCCTGCAAACGAAGGGATCTCCAGTTCAATTCCCAGTCTAGGGTACATGCCTGGGTTGCAGGCCAGGTCCCTGTTGGGGTGCATGTGAGACTTCTTAGAGGGGAAGGGAGGGAGAAAGAGAAGGAGACAAGTATGAATGTGTGGTTGCCTCTCACATGCCCCCAAATGGGGAAACTGGTCCACAACCTAGGAATGTGCCCTGACTGGGAATCCAATGGGCAACCTTTTGGTTCGCAGGGCAGCACTCAATCCACTGAGCCACACCACCCAGGGCCATGCTTATTGATTTTAGAGAGAGGAGAGAAATTTCTATCAGTTGCCTCTACTATGAGCCCCTAGGGCAGAACCTGCAACCCAGGCATTTTCTGTGACTTGTAAATGAACACGTGGCCTTTCAATTTATGACAACCACTTGAGCCACCCTGGCCAGAGGACTCATGAACTCTTTTTCAATGAAGTCTCTGTGGGGTCAATACGTGGCTCTCCCACCACCTGTGATAGGGCTGACCAGGGGGCCCCTGGCCAGAGGAATGTGTATTGTTTTGGAAATGGGTTGTAACTCCCTCCTTATCTCCTTTTGGGAGCAGCTTCTTGTCCTGTGACTGCTTCTTGACCTTTTTGCACGTAAACATTGAGGTAATATAGTTTAGAGTCACGCATAGCACAAGTGCCTCCTTTGTCTGGAATGCCTTATAACAAGCCTCAGACTGGAGGAGATGCAGTCTCTCTTGCACCGACCCACTGCCATCAGTGCACTCCTCTGTGATGTGAGTAGTAAACGTCAGGCATATTCACATCTGCTAGTACACTGTGTGGTTATTTTCCTGGAATATCATGAACTTTTGAGCAGCTTCCCGGTTTAGAGTTCCTGCATTACAGCCTGAATTTTAGACTTTCATATTTGTCTCTGCATTGTCCAGTTTTAGCAAGGATGCTGCTAAGTCAGTTTGACCAGAACCCTTGACCCTCCATATCTGGTTGGATTCCTCATGCTCCACCACCTGGGTGATGTCTGATCACCCTGGCCTAGTCAGTTTAGCCAGAATCCCAGTTACTTCTGATGTTTCTTCCTCTAATTTTCCATCCACTGACCCAAACTCTGCTCCTTGGCTGTAAAGTCCAACTTGCTCATGCCATATACAGACTTGAGCCCAATCTCTCCCACCCACAGTGGTCCCTATACCTATCGAAATAGTCCCCCCTTGAATAGTCTTCCTTATTTTGTCATTGAATAATTTGTTCTTTAACAGCTTCTAATCTTTTAGTCCTTAGTATACTACAACACTCAACCTCTTGCAATGTCAAGCAATTTTCTTTTTCTTTTTTAAAAAAATATTTTATTTATTTTAGACAGAGAGAAAGGGAGGAGAAAGAGAGGGAGAGAAACATCAATATGTGGTTGCTTCTTGAGTGCCCCCCTACTGGGAACCTGACCTGATTTGAGACCCAGGCATGTGACCTGACTGGGAGTAGAACCAGCAACCCTTTGGTTCACAGGCTGGTGCTCAGTCTACTGAGTCACACAAGCCAGGGCTTCAATTTTATTTTTTAAGTATATTTTATTGATTATGTTATTACAGTTGTACCATTTTTTCTCCCCTTTCTCCCCCTCCTCCCTATACCACCCTCTCCCACCTGCATTCCCCCATCCCCTTAGTTCATGTCCATGGGTCATAACATATAAGTTGTTTGGCTTTTTCATTTCCTATACTATTCTTTTTTTTCTTTAATTTTGTTATCCCCTTTATCCCCCTCCTCCCTGCTCCCCCCATCCCCCAGCGCTACCCCCACCACTTAGTTCATGTCCATTGGTTGTATGGCAAGTTCTTTGGCTTCTCCATTTCCTATACTATTCTTAATCTCCCCCTGTCTATTTTGTACCTACCTATTATGCTTCTCATTCCCTGTACCTTTCCCCCTATTCCTCCCCTCCCCCTCCCCACTGATAATCCTCCATGTGATCTCCATTTCTCTGATTCTATTCCTGTCCTAGTTGTTTGCTGAGTTTTTGTTTTTTAGGTTCAGTTGTTGATAGTTGTGACTTTGTTGTCATTTCACTGTTCGTAGTTTTGATCGTCTTCCTTTTCTCAGATAAGTCCCTTTAACATTTCATATACTAAGGGCTTGGTGGTGGTAAACTCCTTTAATTTGGCCTTATCTGGGAACCACTTTATCTACCCTCCCATTCTAAATGATAGTTTTGTTGGATAGAGTAATCTTGGATGTAGGTCCTTGCCTTTCATGACTTTGAATACTTCTTTCCAGCCCCTTCTTGCCCTTAAGGTCTCTTTTGAGAAATCACCTGATAGTCTGATGGGAACTCCTTTGTAGGTAACTGTCTCCTTTTCTCTTGCTGCTTTTAAGATTCTCTCCTTACCTTTAATCTTGGGTAACTTAATGATGATGTGCCTTGGCGTGTTCCTCCTTGGGTCCAACTTCTTTGGGGCTCTCTGAGCTTTCTGGACTTTCTGGAAGTCTATTTCCTTCTCTAGATTGGGAAAGTTTTCCTTTATTATTTTTTCAAATAAGTTTTCCATTTATTGTTCTTGTTCTTCTCCTTCTGGCACCCTTATGATTCAGATGTTATAGCATTTAAAGTTGTCCCAAAGGTTCCTAAGCCTCTCCTCATTTTCTTTGTTTTTATTTGTTTCTTTATTCTTTTCGAGTTGAATGTTTATTTCTTCCTTCTGCTCCAAATCACTGAATTGAGTCCTGGTTTCCTTCCCTTCACTGTTAGTTCCATGTATATTTTTCTTTATTTCACCTTGCATAGCCTTCACTTTTTCTATTTTGCAACCATACTCAGTCATTTCTGTGAGCATCCTGATTACCAGTATTTTGAACTTTGCATCTGATAGGTTGCATATCTCCTCGTCACTTAGTTCTTTTTCTGGTGTTTTTATCTGTTCTTTCATTTGGGCCATATTTCTTTGCCTGGGCGCACCTGTTAAATTGTAATGGGCAGAGCCTTAGGTATTCACCAGGGTGGGGCAACCCTCTTTTTTGCGTTGTGATACCATATGTGGGGAAGAGGTCAGAGAGAGAACAATGCCACTTGCTCAACTCTTGCCCCACTTTCAGTCACTCCCCCCACTACCCACAAGCAAATTGGGCCCTTCTGGTGCTGATTCCAGGGTGGGTGGGTTTGTGTATGTTCTAGTACCCTGGGGCTCTCTCCAACAAACACTCCTATGAAGCTGGGAGTTTCTCCTGTGTTTGCAGCCCCCACAGGTTTTACAGCCATAGGTTTTGAGGCTTTATTTCCCCCACACTGGAACTCTAAGAACCCACTCTTTCTGGGTCACCTCACAGGCCATGCTGCTCTGTGCCTCCCCCAATCACAAAATTGGGGTACATATCTGACCTTCAAGGACAAATTTGGATAATTTTTAAAAATCACTCATATTGCTCAGCAAAGTGCATGGAACTAAGTAGGTGCCTAAAGAGTGTTGGGGAAAAATGAGGTTAAAAACAAACCTAAAATGGCCCTGGCCAGTGTGGCTCAGTCGGTTGGAGCGCTATCCTGTAATAAAGGGGTTGCAGCTCAGTTCCCTGTCAGGGCACACGCCTAGCTTGTGAGTTTGGTTCTGGTCCAGTCTTGTGTGATTCCCCATCTAGGCACACATGGGAGGCAACCATCGACGTTTCTCTCTCTCATCAGCGTTTCTCTCTCTCCCTTCCTCCTTCTCTAAAAAGCATTGAAAAAAAAGTTTTGGGGTGAGGATTAAAAAAAAAGGAAAAAAACCTAAAATAGTCATGAGAGAAATTTTTGGAGTGATGGAAATGTTCTGAAATTGATTCATGATGGTAACAATTCTGCAAATTTACAAAAAGTCATTGATTGTACATATAAAAACAGGTGAATTTTACAGTGTGTAAATTATACCTCAGTAAAGCTGTTTTAAAAAACACAAACCAAATCTAACTTACTTGAGTGGCTAAAATGGAGAAGACAGAAAATGCCCGGGGCAGCTGTGATGTGTGAACGGACTCGCCTGCATGGGAAGCGATTTGGCAGTATCTATTAACACTAACCAGATACCTGCAATCCGTGGCCCAGCAATCCCAGTCATGAGTGTACACGCAACAAAAATGTGTGTGTGTGTACATATCCTCCAAAGGCAACTTCTTTTTATTAAACCACTTCAAAAGAAGTTACAGACATCATGACTACAGTGAAAGCTTTCATAGCTGAGCTGTAAATCCCTCCTCCAGCTTCCAGAATTTGACTTTGGTCTGAATGTAGTTGGAGTTCCTGCAGGATG